TAATGAGTCTTAACCATAGGAATAAAACATTTTTGAAACCAATCCAATGTTATATCAGTGGTAACTCACTCCTTCCTTTTGGCACCTTAGGGGCAGGACATCGTCTTATTCTCTTGAAGGCCCTCGGATATAACCTTTTTCTAGTAACAAGCAACTTACATCTGTGGGTATCCGTAACATTATAGCAGCGCATTACTGTAAGACGATCTTTAAGAGCTTTAAGCCCTGATGGTGATTTCGCGTCTTCAGTTGCCAGATTTTATTGTTTGGCATATATGTCCCGAACAAGGCTGCCTCTTTATCATTGTACTCTTTTTCAGGAATGAAATGTTCAGCATTAACTTCGAAAATTCCTCCCTATATGCACTATCCCGCATCTTTGCCTACCGTATCCCGCCTTGGAAAAATGTTGCCAATCTTTGGAATATTCACACTTGTATTGCAATCTCAGCTCCTCATGAAACACTTTGGCTTGTTCTTTTAATGAATTACCATAAAATTTCACACCTCCATTTAGGCGGAAGTAAAACTAAATTATGAGAACTTTATCCATTTCCGAACTCTTTTCCTCCTTTATTAGCATCCTTACAAACATTTGTTTTCTCGATCCTAGTAGTCTTTCTTTCTGTTTTTAAGTATCATACAATATTGAAGAACCAGCGTTGTATGTTTCCCAATAGATTCGCAAAAACATACCGCAATTAAATGTTTTTTAAGCATTTCCACTTTTTTTGTGCTCTACAGCCGAGAATATTTACATTTTATACTGCCTGTTTTCTTTACTGAATACATAATAAGGCCATAGGGCAGGAATTAAATTATAAAATGAGAAGAAATAAGCAAGAATATCTGTTAGCTTGTGCAAGCAGGATCCAAAAGCTGAAGCAAAGCCTTCAGAAAAGAATGGTGGGATAATATGGTAAATTTGAAAGATGCTCTAAAATTCATGCCGGAAATTTGCAGAACTGAATTATCAATAGCCGAATTTTTGAATGTTAACCTCTATAACCACTTTTAAACATTCAGGCATTTCACGTTCTCACATGAAAGGAAGGGAATATTGTTCCCAGATCTAAATATAATGCTCAAAGATATATAAAAAGTGCTGTTTAAGAATATTTCACTTATTCGGCGTGTTATTGTGTTTTAATATTTCACTTGTTGTCTGAAAGGGATTATTCTTGAGATTGAAAAGTATTAAGAAGCATAACATATGTAAATATCGTTCCAAAAGTTGCTAGAATTAAACTTCTTTTAAGAGGAACGATTTTCCACACTGTTAACGTTATCTTCTCATCCATACTCTCACGGAATCTCTGTCGGACTTCGGTTGACGCCGTCGATTTTCGCATACGTTTTCGTGCTGCAGAACAGACATCAAGAGATGCTTCGAATACGAGTGATCCAGATATAGTTATGGCAAGAAAAGCTAAAATGCTGAGTATAAAATGCAATGAAACTTGAGCAGCATCTATCATCGCGTGATATTTTAAAGATAACTGGAAAAACATCATACTTGCGCTAAAAAGCACCACAAAAAAGGCATTGAAAGACAGTTCATTATCAATTTTTTCAGCAATATCTTTCAATAAATCATAACGGTATATAATCCTTTCATTAATTGTGTATTCTCCGTCTCTTATAGATTGCGCCAAGTTTCTTACCGCTTCCTTCAGTTGGTAGCAAACTAACGCATAAAGCATCGAGAATGTATAGATTGGCATATAGGAGGAAAGTAGCACTGCTGGTCCATAGAACAGTTGCATTATAATCATGGGTTCTTTCGGTAAACTTAACATATTGGACAGCATATAATTAACGATGCTCATACCATGATAGGAGATAATACATGAAACAATTTCGATCAAAATTGTTAAAATAACCCAGCTGTAAATGCAACACTCAGTTGCTTTGCTGCCTTTAAAACGCAACTGCATTATAATATTTATTAGTTTCATAAAACCATTTATTTTGAAAAATAGAGCAACTTTATGTATGAAGATCACTACAAGCATGAACACATAAACTGCGGTCCAAGTAACACTTCTTTGCGATACATAGAATATTGCCGCAAAAATATGGAATAGGTTTATGAAATTTGATACCCCTTGAAATAAACGTTTAAGAACATACATCACTTTCCTACTTTTGGAAAGGCTTCGCTTACTAAATATTCCGCTAATACAAAAGAGCACAGTTACGACTCTATATAGTAATTTGATTTTGCGATTCATGATTTTATTTTTGTAATTCAAGATAATTGTTTATCTTTCACACGCTTCTGCTGCGTAAAGGTTTATGGAAATATACTTTAGTTTTGCTTTCAAACGTTCTTTAAACCATTAGATATGGCCTTTTCTACGGATTGTAGTAAAACGAACTTTATTTTAGCATCTAGGTGCCCATTAATCCTTTTCTACAATGCATTCTTTTCTACAGGCTAAAATGAAATATGTTTCTGAGTGTTCAATAAGGCAATGAATATATCTCTTTCATCAGATTGTACCCTTACGTTTATTCATTTTAGCTTTGGCTTCCAGAGGTTCATTAAAACGGTTCATTTTGTCCTTTTTTATAAATGCTAAGGAAAAATAGTTTGGTTTGTTTTCAAATGCTCATTAATAAGTTCAATATATCATTTTTTACAGAATGTAAATATATCTACTTTAGTTTTGCTTCCAGCTGTTATCAACCTGTTCGATATTTCCTTTTGTTCAAGTAGCTTCCAGACGTTCAGTAAGCCCTTACGTATGTCCTCTTCTACAAGAAAATTTTATCATATGCTATTGTAGCATAACGCGGAACATGCCAGGGCGATTACTTGGAAATCCTGTGATCCACTTCGGACCAGACCACAGTTTAATTTCAAGAAATTCTCGCTGCAAAAATTTATCTTTTATGTATAGTTACTAAAAAATTCATTTTTCCCCGTTTAGTACTTATTTCTTAACTGTAACATTACGTCATTTGATTTTTCCACAGTTTCTGCAGAGATTAAGGTTTAGTGAAAATTCGCAAAATTAGACAGAAAGTTAGGATTTTAAAAACTGATGTCTGGGAGGAAAATCAGTTTGAAATTTGTTTCACGTACTGTTTAAGAAGAGTTATCATTGCGATGAATTAAATAGTCCTTATTATTCGAAACTATTATTACTCCAAATCGGCACTGAAAATTTACACGTTACTCCTTTAAATACGAAAACTGTATCTTTGCCAAATGTTATCTTGTTACATACACATTACTGTTAGAATTATTATAGACAATCAATCTTCTGCAAGCAAAATGAGATAGAACACTAAGATGAAACTGCGTAGCTCAGGAAGATATACTGATACAAATTGATCCAGCATTTCAAACAATTTTTGCTTTCTTTGTGAACAGTTTGCAATTATCTTAATGTTTCTAATTTATATACTGTTGCGTTAGAAGTGTCTGCCTGACGTTGGGTATTAATTTCACTAATAGGTTTATTTATCCCTTTACCAGGTACAAATTACTAAATGAAATGAATAAATCAATACATATCCATATTTTAAGCATTTTCAAATATTTTAGTGACGTATTAAAAACGCAGCATTATTTTTAAGTTGCTTAAATCAACAAAAATAAAACTGAAAACAGGAAAATAGTTCAAAATAGCTTCGATAACTAAAATTCTAGGTATTTCGAATGTGAATAAATGGAATTCTGTTGTACATAACAAATATATGTGAAAGATGTGAGATTAGTCGAACATCGGGTATTTCATTACAAGGCCTTCATTAAGCATAATAATGAAAGAAAATTTCAATTTTGATTACAGTGGAGGATGACTTGATTTGGACGATGATGAAATTAATTTGTGCATGATTTATTTGTAGAAACATTATGTTATTTTGACGCAAGAGAGATGAAAAATGAGCAATGCCAGGGACTCGAGAATTGGACCTCTCTAATACGCGCCGAGTGTGCTGACCACTACACCCCGAAGGCATGCTGAGAAGGCGGGAGAAATACCTAATACACTCCCCCTTTTAAAGGGTGGCTGGGTATTAGGGGACCCAATGGCCAAATCCTAATGGTGGAGAATTATCACCCACCACCGTTTTTAATTCGAGAGTCACTGTAGAGACATTAGGTTATTCCGAAGCAGGATACATGAAAAATATGCAATGCCTTCGCCGGGACTCGAGCCACGGACCTTTCGAATACGCGTCGAGTGTGCTGACCACTACACCACGAAGGCATGCTAAGAAGGCGGAAGAAATACCTTATATTTTTAAAATCATAGAGTTTAATGAAAACTTCTTGACACGTAGTGAATTTAATACAGCTAAGGCGCTTAAGTACACTATCCTCTATTTAGCACAGTTTTACTAAAGAACAAGTTAGAATAACTATGAAATCTTTATTCAACAAGTTAGAAAGTTTTCTAAACTCAATTAGAACAAAAATCAAAATTAACAACCTTCACAAACATTTAAAAAAAGAAGCTCAGACCAAAGTCGGCGTAAAGAAGACTAATGGCAAGAATAACACAAAGTCGCAGAATTCTAGTAGCTAGAGAATCAAAGTTAGGAACGTACCTTTCAAGCAGGCAGAACACGCTCATTTCACCCTCCAAAACTTCCTTTAAATATTTCCTTCTTTCTAGCTAATTTGAATATCGCTGCATTGGAAATTTGCGTTTTGGCAGAGAAAGGAAACGTGGTTTGATAGAAAAGGTTGTTAACATAAAATAAAAACATTCCAAAATCTTTTCTTTAATACCTGATAAATGTGATTTTCAAATAAATTAAGAAAATATACAAGTGTCCTAAATTAAATGTGAGCCACTACATTTGTCGTAGAATTGGCGATTCTGATGATTTTCAGGGATAGGATAACATAATACAGAAAATACCAATTTTTATTTAATTGAATGATAGCCGCCATTTTCATACACATGCTATTCAACTAGAACTATTAAAAACTATTCTTACCATCTTAAAACTGTACTAAAATTGTGGTTTATTTTCAGGTGGTATACGACAAAATGTATTCTGTGTCAGTGGATGGTACCCTCAGGGTCTGGGATACAACAGGGATCCTTGATGAAGAAGTGGTTACTGAGGAAGTAACAACTGACATGCCAATACCTTAAACTGTATTATTATTTCTTATTCAGTTTGCCGCTCGTTTAAGTAATTTAATAGTTTAAGTAATTAAGTAAGTTTACTTAAATCCACTTGTAACCATAACTGAAAGACTTATGTAAAACTTTTGGTCCTAAGTTACATGTTTCAATAAATATATTTTCACAACTAGGAAAGCAATTTTAGTTATGGATATTTAAAAAGTTATGTTATTATTATCAAGTAAATAGCAACTGCAAATTGAGATGACGCAAAAGCGAAAGTAGATTAAATACGAGAGAAAGTGGCGTAAGTCAGCGTGCCTACGATACAATATATAAGAACACACAAATAACATAAAAATTATATCTATAATATGTATAATTCAAATTAACTTGAAGAATTACATTAAAATTATATCTATAATATGTATAATTCAAATTAACTTGAATAATTACATTACAATAGTTAAGGTTCATACATTTAAATCAATTAAGTCAAGGTAAAAAGCTATTAATTAGCATCAATAATAGAAAAATTGCATCAAAAACAACGTAAGCAAACTTATATTTCAGACCTGGTATCCAAAGAGATCAGTTAAAGTACACATATTATATATCTCCAGAATCGTCATTTTATAAGGAACACAAATTTAATCACTTCTAAACACTCTCTTTCATCTGAAAGTACTGTGATCAGAAATACAGGAGCATCACGAAGCACAAAAATCGCCATATCCGGAGTGTGGAGTATTCGAGTTGTATATCACTAAATCAAATATTCTCCAGAGAACACAAATATTATCATCATCAAGCACCGGCAGTGCAGCATAGAGCATTATGTGACAAAACGAAAGTAGTCGTTAAGCGCACAATACACACTCTACTTTGGAACAGATAACACAAATTTGGTATCCTCAGATGCAGAAACACTTCACGAAACTGATTATCATAAAAAAATCTGCTTCCGAACAAGTTATTCTGCAATCCAAAGCAAGAGAAGTGGGATCGACAAAGACACGTCTGATCACCACGACTGTCGTACCAGCAACGATATACGAAAACTATTTCTTGAAAACTATTAAATATAAGAAATGAAGGGGCACTGCTTTAGAGCCATAACCAATACATATATCCTTCTCAGCAAATATGCTAGTCTGAATCGGTCATGCGTAATTTTATGCTCAGAGGCTCGCTTGGCATCGAAAAGCAATATGTATCGTCTTGAATTGCAGGATAACATACAATAAAAGCACATGTTAGCATTTTGTTCAGAATCTTTCTTTGAACATCTACGCTCCTCAACTCCTTCAAAGTCTCATGATCAACTACAGTTAAAACGAAAAGCAGAACGAAAGACTGAAATGGCTCATTTTATTATGCTCTCATACAATCTTCTGCAGAAGGAAAGAGAAATACGTATATAACATTACCTTTGGTTGCCACCTCCAGAGTGCCTGAAGTGGGAAAGGCTGAAATGAAACATCACTTCTAAAGGATCGTTGTTAAACAATGTCATTTTCAGTAACTTTTTTTAAAAATTATAATACAAGGTCCTCAGCTAACTTTTTTTATTTTACTTTATTGTGACAACTTTCCTGTAAATATTCGTGCTTCTGTCGTCCATTTTAATAGTGAGTAAAAATTGTTAATAATTTTCATTAAATGTTCACGTTAAAATATCAATTTAACTAGTTTATGGTTTCCCTTAGACATTAAATTCTTCAGCCACTTATTAAAGTGTTATCAGCCATATTATTATTAGCCATATTACTGTACTAGATGCATTACAATTCATGCATGTGACCCTAGATGCAACCTAGTGCGCGACAAACCCGTTTAAAGTGATGTCGCAGGCAATTTAGTAGCTGCAAGCGAAATCTGAGATAAGCCAAGAATTTTATAAAATGTTCTTGATTTGATGCGCGGATGATGTCAAGCATGTGTTGCAGCTCTTTGTGGCAGTTTCTAACACTTTCTATAACATTAGTACATTCTCTTAATATCTCATAACAAAAGCATTTTGCTCGCTTATGTATTTGCCTTTAGTTGCTATTTCTCTGCACACTAACAAATGAAGATGGTGCTACATAATTCCGATTATTTCTCTTAGTAGTTAGCTGAGTCATCCTATTTACTTTCTTATATTTAAACGTGAAGTTTGTTTCACCTGATATAATGGAAAAAGAAAAAGAGTAGAAAAACATTAAAATGCTAATTCACAAATGCGGTTATTCTAATATTGGGTCAGTACATAAATTCGTGCGCATTTTTGGTAAATTTTTAAATGATATAAAAAAACACAATTTAACATTTTAATCAATTATATATTTTCCTCCATTATCTACAATGTTTCGCCATCTTACAGGAAGATTTTTTGATGCAATTGCTGTAGAAAGACTATGGATTTTATGCAAAAAAAAATTGAAAGTTCATTGTATACATCCTGTTTAGAATTTATTTTTTTCCCAGTAAAAAATTTTGCAAGGCACGAAATAAGGTTAAATAACTTGGGGCAATATCTGGGAAATAAGCAGGATGTGGATAAAGCTCCCAATTAAATTCACTAATTTTTTGCAGCGTTGTTCGAGCCGTATGCGGCCTAGCGTTATCATGATGAAACAACACTTTCTTTATATTCACCAATCGTGGGCGTTTTTTGATCAATTCTGAGTTTAGACGACAAAGTTGTTCACTGTAAACTTCTGAATGAATCGTTTGATTTGGTTCTAACAGTTCAAAACTTCCTGAACGGGGTTCATCATCCATGCTGCATTTTCTAACTTTAAATTTTTTAAACCATTTCTGGGAAGTCCTTACACTAATAGTGTGTTCACCATGTACACTATCAATTTTTATCGCTGCAAACCTGGCAGATTCAGAACACGAAAATAAAAAAAATGTAGCACAGCATGTTTGTACTGATTATCTATATTCATCTTCTATGGGTACTAAAATGCGTTCGATATTTACGAAAGTTGGTGATGAACTGAATAATATGTTTGTCAAACGATGACAAGTTTCAACAGGTTCAAAATTGTATTCTTTTAGTAAATGCGTCATAGTGAATTCCACGCATACTCTTAATGCTCACGAACTTATGGACTGACCCGATACAATTTCAAGAGTCAGTTTCAGATTTCCGAAGTGTTTTAGATCAGTTAAGTCAGCCGTAAAATACGTAAACGTTCAATTATACTGCTTTGGAAGCTTCACTAAAGCTTATTGAATAAGAATGCATGGAAGCAGTAATTAATGCTTAAAAATATAAATACTAATAAATCAAAAAGCTGTAATTTAAAACCTGAAATTGAAGGTGTTGCAACTTTAATGACTGCTATTCAAGAGTTTTACTACAACCATACACAAAGTATAGCTATAAGAAAAGTGTAAGAATCAATGTTATATTTCTGAAGTATTAAAGTGCAGCGGTAATAAACTTAAAGCATGTTCTGTTTCCGAGAAATATAAGAGGTATAATTTTGAATCAGACAATGAGGCCCAAGCCAATCATTGCGTTCTGTAAAATGATCCAAGTTTCACAATGAAAAGTTTACGAAAGATCACAAAAACTGTTTTACCATTTTCTGGTATGAAATTCTCTTTTGCTTCAGGAAGTAATTAAGAGTGGTGTATCTTGTTTTATGTAGGTGTTACATAGAAACAACGTGGGTGAATCAAATACAAGAGAATTTTTAATATTAGCAAGGGATTTTTTATACTTGTTACCATGGCAACCAAGCCAAATCGTTAACACTTGTGAAAAATCGTTTGCATTTTTGTAGTCTTCATTGCGTTCATTTATTGAGTCGCTTGCGTTAACAGAAAGCAAAGAGTATCGAGTGCAATTGTACAATATATAATTATTTAATTTTTCTCTAATGTTAATGTCAAATGTATTGAAAACCTTATACAGATTAAATATACAGCTTGGTAATGACGCTGCACCGATATGTCATGTATGAAACTTGTCAGAGCTGTGTCAAAATAGCCGTGAAAAATTGGAATTTTGACTAATACTCTTCGGACGCCAAGTAAAAATGACACAGAAAAACATTCAACAAATGTGAAACCTTATTAATGATGACCAAGGAATAAAAGTTCACTAAATTAATGCCAAAACAGGCTTAAGTTATGAAACCGCAGAATTCAGCATTCAAAATACGCAGCAATTTCTTAAAATCATAGCAAGGTGGGTGCCTCGAATTTTAAATTCGGGTTATGGGAAAAGAAGTTTGTCAAAAATACTTGAATCAATATTTCAGACATCTGAATTATTAAGCAGAAGAAGATTAAATTTTGATGCATAAATATAAACGTGTAATAAACGTCGGGTGTACGGTTACTCACCCATATGAGCCAGTATGGAATGCCGCGTAAAAAATGAAATCGCTCTATGAAAGCAGAAACTCTATTATCCTCAGGCAAAGTTCTCTTTATCACTACTTTTCCGTGCATGTTTAATATTTTATGAAATATCTAGAGTTAAAGAGTATAATACTGTGAAATTTTGGAAATTATTAAGGTAGAGCGTCCGTTCAGAAGACATTCCATTTCGATGCGCAATGTGCCTCTTCTTCAGAACAACGCGTACAGGAAGTTTAACACAAAATTTAGAGCAATTTCTCTTGACATTTCTCGAACATAATCCCTACAGTCCGAACTTCAGCCTCTTCAATCTACCATTTCTTTGCACTTTTAAAGAAGCAGTAGGAAAACAAAAGATTTTCATTAGACGAAATGGAAGGCTCTGTAAGCATGTAAGATTATTATAGTTTTACATAACGATTCATGTTAAGATTTAGATCTTTACTGTCACTGCTCCCTTCAGTCTTCCTATCAGAATGCAAATTTAGTTTCAGAGTATTAAGTCAAGGGCTTTGGATTGGATTATTTAGACAGATATCTAGCTTATTATGGCCTCTTCTGTGGTCACATAAGCAATTTCATAATCCGTCTCCGTATCCATTGTAAGTTAGAGCATGTTTCTGTCTCTTGAGGCCACGTTACCAGGTTTCACTAGCTCCTATAAGATTGCAGACTTGTTCTTTGCATTATAATTGCCAACAATTAAATTGTTACGGCGGTGAGAAGATTCGAGCCTACTTCAGATTAAATCAATTGTATAGTCTTTTGGCTACTATACTCACTTTTTAATATTGAATTTGAAAATACTTAAATTTCATCC